GGTATAAGGGAGTAGGAGGATGCTTGACCGGAGCGCCGGGGGCAGCTGGACACTGCGAGTGGGTAAGTGCGGGCATGGCATGGGGGGGCGAGGGGAAAGGGAGGTCTTTGCTTTGGGGGATCTGTCTCGTCACCTCTTTTTGTCCCATTTCCACCCACGGTGGGTGTCCCCCACCCTTGGGCAGGGCAGTGGGTTGCCAGCTCTTTCCCAGCGCTGCGCAGGCTACAGTCAAGCCCCTCCTTGCTCAGTTTGGGATGGGGAGGGGATTCCAAATGAGTCCCATTTCCCTGGCTACCCTCAGGGAGGGCAGCTGGGTTCTTGACTGGCATTACCTTGTGCCCTCCCTGCTGTGCTCTGGAGATACTGAGGGGCAGGATGAGACCCCCAGAAAGTGCAGAAGTGATACTGAGGCAAACTCCAGCGCCAAGGAGTGCATTGCCATATGCCTGTGCTGCTCCTGGTGAGCCTGTCCGTGCCCCTCCTGCCTGCCCTTGCCCGATCCCAGCTCGCAGGCAGCAGCCTGGTTGTTCTTCCAGCCCAGCTGGTAAAGACAGTTCCTCCTTTTACCAAAGTTTCAAGCTTATTATTCTGTTTTTAAATATTTTTTTCTTGGTTTGAAAACCAAAAGCACCGTGTTCCTTTGGAGCAGGGCAACTAGAGTCGCTCCGGTAACAACCCTGCTCCAACTCACACGGAAATTGCTCCGGAATAATAATAAGGGCTGAGAAAGTCGCGCCGCGTTCCCCTTCACTGAGCTTTGTTTGCTTTGATTTATTGCCACGTAACGCTGAAACTTCAGGGCTCTCCCTTCCTGGGCAGGCAGGCTTGGCACGAGCCCTGTTTCCAGAGCTGGAAATGCTGGCGGCTCCGCACCTTTCCTGCGATGCAGGATGCATCCCCAGGGCATCTCCTGGGCCCCTTGAGCATCACGTACACTGTAGGACATGCCTGAGCAGGCAGGAGTTGGAGGTGTTTCCTTATCCCACTGCCAGGCCACTTGTGGAACGAGTGTGTCTGGTCTCAGAGGTGCTTAGTCAGGCTGGCAGCTGTGACCGCGATTCTGGTGGCCGCAGCAGGGATGGATTTTGGAGGCAAAGAAGGGAATTTGCCTCGAAAGGAGCTGCAGGCACAACGTCATGGTTGGGTTGGGCCCTTTTGGGAACTGTGACTGCCTTCCTGTAAATGCCCTATTGAGGAAGGGGTGGCTGAGCCTCCCCAGGCAGGGACCCAGCTTGGCACAGCAGGGAAATGCCAGGTGCTGGAAATCCAGCCTGGGTGCTGCTGGATGCTGCCTGCGTGGCAGCCCAACGGGCACGGGCAGGCTTGGTGAGCAGGATGGAGCTTACAGGGCTGCCAGACCCCTTTGCTGCTCAGCAGCAGGGCAGAGCCTGCCCCTGGCTGGCTCCAAGCCGTGCCCTGTGGGATGCTGGATCCACACTGCCCTGGCAGGACCAGGGTGCTGGGGCATGCCCCAGCATAACCACAGCCTGCTGGGAGAGGTGCTGGGTGGGCCAGCCTGGAGCAGCCCAGCACATCACCTTCCCCCCTGCAGGAGCAGGATTGTGCTGACTTGGCAGCAGCAACATGAAAGTTGTTCAAGACAGGACTTGGCCAGCTCTGCTGTTCTCCTCCCCCGGCCAAGGGTCAGCTGGCATTGCCTCTTCGTGGGGCCCTGGGATTCACAGCCTGGCCCAGGGACTGTGTGGACAGTCCTGAGCCCCTTCCTGCCCAGGACCCTCATCCCTCCCCCTGAGCTGACGCATCCTTCACCATCTCCTGTTGTTGGCTGAAATCCTTGATATCCTTGGCTGGAGTGTGAGGGGGCAGTGAATCCCTATGTAAGTGTTTTGTGCTGGCAGGAATCATGGGCAGCATAATTAGGACAAACACCCCATAATCATTAATTAGTTTAAGGCTGGGTTGGGCTCTGGGGGATGCTGATGAACCCTCCACACGCCCACGC